TTGTTTTCCGAGGACTTTTTCCCCCTAAATTGTTGGGAATGGAGAGAGAAAGGGGCTTCACTTTTACTTTACTTTATGAAGTGGTATTTAGGTAGATATAATACCATTTTGTGTTTCTTGTGTATTAGTAAATATAAGCATATGCATACGCGCTGGCTATCTGATTTGGACTGGTATTGTTTACAATGAAAACACATAAGAATTTTTGTGTTTGTGAATGCATACTTTGTTTGATCCTTAATAACATATAACAAAATGTTGTGATTTCAAATATTTCTTTTAATATACATAATCATGTCATATTAGCCCATTGACACTCGCCGACATCCACGTCTCTTTAACATAAATTTCCTGTGCTCATTCAGCATGAGACAATAAAGGTTAATTAGGGAACCCCAATATCTTAATTAAGGAAAGAAAAGCAGTCAAAACACTGTCACTTCCTGCCCAGGACCCCAGGATGTCACACGCTAAGAGAAGTAAGCAACCTTCCCTCATAGACATATCAAGGAAAACACATAACAACAAGACGGTGTCTTTTCTACAGGAATCTCGGTATGTAGTCATTGTTGTTGTTTTGTTTTTTTCACCATTAACTATATATTTTCAATCAAACTGTGCATTTGTGAAGTCAGGAAAAGTATCGACCCAAATGTGCAGGTTTCGTTTTAATATTCTGCAATCCATTTTTAGTATTACCCGGTGGCCCGGCCCGGCCCGACTTTTCTTGGCCCGACTTTTAGGCCATCCCTAATATTTGGTCATTTATATGATCCCTATGTTAAAACAGACCTTGATTTCTTTACCAAAATATTATATTCCCCTGGGTTGCCAGGACAGGTTATCCCTTCCGACGTCCGTGAACGCAGGTTAAACCCTTGTCGCAACTTTGTGTTCACATCTTCCAACATCACTAGGGCCGTTTACGACTTGTCACATTACTGAACAATCATTCGAGTGAGTGAGTGAGTGAGTTAAGATTTTAAGTCACATCGGCAATATTTCAGCCATATCGTGACTAAAGCAAGTTATAAATATATCAACAATTTAAGTGAAATTATAAAATTCTGCCAACGAAGGACAGTAAAATAACTAGATTATCACAGATATATATGTAAAACTAGTAATTGAATCTAAAACATTTTAACTATAGGGGACAACACAATATAAAAATGGGCTATAGATCGCTAACAACTGAAGTTAGATCACCATACTAGGGACGAACAATCATTCGAAACGCAGGTTTCGTTCGTTAGTGCACGTGGTCTCGGGACAGTTTTTTCTCTTGTCCTGACTTACTAAGGCGGTATTGAGCTAAACGTTAAAGTTGAAGTTAAATTTTCTTAACCCCCCTTTTTCCAAATAATCCGTCCGTGCATAACCAACTTTCCCGTCGATTGTCTTGTTTAGGTTAATTAATTAGTCAGTGATCATAGTCAGGGTAAGGTGGGTTTATGTCTTTTTGTTGTCGCCTTTTAATATATTTACCTGATAATGATAAAACTGCGATATTGTATCACCATCTTTTGAATTATTACTTTATTGTTGTTCATTGACGCCCACGACTCCATGGTACAGAGGGAGACAATGCTAAGATGGGAGTTGTCACAAGTTATACATAGAGTCATAATATACCAGTCAGTACTACAGTACAGATCCTGATCTAAATACCAAGGCGCTATGAAATGTGTCACAGGTATAAAGTTGCAAATACGTCTCTCTTGGTTTCACGGACGCCATTCCCTCTTCGCATCGTACCAAGGCCTAAATATGAATTGGATGTAAACAGGCGCGCAGCTTCCATTATATAAAAAAGCCCGGCTTACACAACATACAAAAACACTCTTTTTCTAATTCTCGCCAAAAATACCTACAAACAACACGTCATCAGAACCATTTAAAAATGGTAATCCCTCTATTAATCTTATTGACTACAATATTCTTGGATAACAAAGCATTACCACTTCAGTCACCATGTACAGTAAGCATGTTATTTTACATATCATAAATTTGAAAGGTGCCTTTCTATCAGTGTTGATTTTTCCATCGACATGTATTTCAATGACGTCAAGCCCTCAATACTTTCTAAATACAAAGCTTAGTAACCTATCGGGTTTACACGAAAGAATTTGCTTGCTATGCGCCTGGTAAAGAATAATTAGGATACTGATAAACCGTTAAATGTGGGGATGACGCCCCCCCTCACGGCCAACAAGTACCGAATCTTAGCGTTTTATTGATGACCAACAGATAGAAACACCGACCTCAGGCTCTCGGGACGGACGCGCTCTCCACCAGAATACGGAGACGGTCTTCCGGGTTTCAGCTGGACCGAAGGGTTGGGTTTGCAGAACATCCGTGACTGATGGTTCTTTGATTATGTTTTCATTCACCTTTTCATCAAGATTCGAATATTTTTACAGACTTGGTTCTTGGTGAAAATCTACCTATGGCCTCAACTATTCCTACAACATGCACTCAGTCACTCTTCACATATCTCTTCGTGACAAATGATAATCGTTATTATAACATATAATGTATGTTTTCAAAACACTAACTCAAATTTGAGTATTAATGCACAAAATAACTAACTGAAGCGAAATTGGATTTTAAGGTATTGATCATATATCTTTAGATTTTTTCTCTCGGGTTAATCAGCGTCTCATAAAATACGTACCACTTTATTTATCAAACACGTGTTAGCGTTTAATGGGGATGGCGCGAACCTTGCTGAATGGCTCAGAGATAATGCAACCTACACAAATGTAAAAACTCTGGAACAAGGCTTCCTCTATGCCATCTAAACCGGTTCGGCTTGACTCGACACGGAGGCATTGACAAGAAAAAACAACCTGCTTCAGTGATAGACCGAACAGAGAACAATCTTCATTTGTTATACTTTGCTGAGCTCTGTGTACATGTATTCAAGATGCCTTAGAGCAGTGCTTTGGATGTCATGAAATGTTTATATGCTATGCGGATGTCAAAAGTTCAACGCTGAAAAAAAATCGAAATATAATTTTTACGCAAAATATTTAGCCCTAAGCTTATGCGATTGTATGGTTATTCATTCTAAGTGAAAATACCAGTCCAATTTATTGGTACCACCTTTGTTACACTGAATAGCAATAGACATGCCAGAAGCCTGGAGATGGAAAGTTGATGAGGAGGGGTGGCACCGTGGTGTGTTTATGATCCACCTCTGTTTTTGCCTGTTATGCCCGATAGAGTCTGTTTAGCCCAATAATCAAACAATTTGTCATTTGCAACTGACTTTGGATGTTTTTTTAGCGTAATCGTTGTATTTGACCCAGTTAAACTAGGCAGCAAAACCTATACAAGTCTATATTTGTTCGATCAGGACTGTTATCTCTATCAAAATCTGAAGTGTTATCTTGTCACAGTAAATGTGACAATCAATTTTCCATTTTACAGATTACTTGCTGTTCTTCAATTATTGAAATTTAATCATATTGAAAGCCAACCTATTTCATTCAAATACCAATCCGTTTTGTCTCCAGGGAGACATGTGTAGGTTTGTCGCAGAAGTCTACTTTAATGGATCGAACGATCACACACGGGGACTCGGATATTGATCGAGGATAGACTTTATATTTTGGTCTGGAGATCAGAAGCATCCTTGAAGTATTATTCTGGGATAATCTAATAGAGCTGTCCTGCATACCCGTCCACTACAATAATTAGCACGTATATGTTCTGCAAATGATGATCGATGTTTTTTTGGAAACCAATAAATAGCATTTTTCAAAGAATGGAATTATGTCATCATGATGTTAGATTGATGTGTCTACTTGCACAGTTTTAACGTAAAATACTCTGTAAAACCTACTTCATCAGCAACACGTGACATTCCTGTAAACCGATGAATATAAGTTAAAATCCCTATTCCATAGTCATAAATAGATTTTACGATTCATGAGCATATTTTCTTGACAATCTATCCCTAGAAAGTCTGGTTTCTTTACAGGACTCTGCGTCGTCGGTCTGTAAATGTTTATTCTTAAGGCAAATTGTGTGACAGGTTGGTGTGACGGTAGAGCAGGAAATGCTTACTTATTCGCGGACACCTGGTGGCACCCATTCATATACTTTCACAGCTAGTTTGTCCTTTACATCTGTGTTAATCATTGAGTAACAAGTGTAATACATTGTACATGTAGACTGACAGTGAGGGGCAGTGGTGTACTATCTTTAGACCCGTGCTATATTTAGACGCAGTTCGGGAAGGTACTACAGTCATATGGGCCAGTCCACTATATTCTGACCCAGGGAGTTGGAGAATCTCCTGCAATCGTCTTCTTAAAAATATAAGGTGAGTTAACTCTTGCCTCTAATGTCACAGTACATCAGAACATGAGAACCGGCATTGTGTTGAGATCATAACTTCGGAAACTTTACCATTGTTCCAGTGAGATGACGTCACAAGTCGAAAACAGATATCATATGGGTCACCGATGCGTTTAATTGAAAATGTCCTCTGAAGTCTTAAATGTTGAAACTTTAAAACGACAATTGCAAAAACGTTTGATCACTGGTCCTGTGACGCTCCTTGAAACCTTTGTCGAAACAGCATGCCCGGTTGCATTCCTTTGTATACCTTTGAAGGCAATGGTTGTCATCGCCAGAAACACCAGATGTAGTGCTCCAGGCGCCCAGTTAACGCCGTGTTCCACCCTAAACTACATGTTCGATAAGTAAGTGTTTGCACAGAGGCACCTGCGTGTTGGATTTCTATTAGGTGTTTATCTCTACCCACGATGATAAACAAATGCCTCTAACTCCGAGGACGATGAAATAAAAAGAACGGAAAATAACTCCTGGCAATGTTTAAAGTGGAACAATGATTATCAATACATTGTTCTATTGTTAAAACCTACCACTGGCTGTAAGAAACGAACGCCTTTGGAGACATTATCGATCTCATTAACATCTCCCTAGAATATTAAATCCTCTGTAGGCTCGTATTACAGAAGACAGCGCTCGGTACGTTGTGCGTGATAATATATACATGTACGTAGATGAGGACGGTCACAATCTGAGCATGGGTGAGATGTATCGATATGAAGGTAAGTGCTGAACGATATATATGGGGAGTAGAGCTCGATGGCAAGATTTCACAGGATAGATAGATGTCTGATATTGTAGTGGGTTAGATAGATTGATGATATATATGATGAGGATTAGAGTGAATGTATTTGCAGTTTAACACTCAAATATGTTCAAGCCTTATGGTGGTGGTCTAAAACGTCTGGTCAAGACAATCTAGTGATTGATATTATAAGCAACGATACGCAGTGGACAACGGAATTCCCACGGGGTATTCAAATAATTTGACAAGCGTGTTGTACTTTATGGGTATAATGTAGAACAAGAAATACACATTGACTATCCATCATGAGCATGCATGTTTGCTGGTAAATTAACATAGTGTTTAGTTATTTCTTAATATATATACGTTTGTTTCCAAGTACAAATCTTTTTATATCCATAGACCCCAGTTTGGGGGCATATGCTGTAGTAGGAACATCGATAAGTGGTGTGTCTTTGGAATTCCGTTTTACATGGATTGAAAAATAATCCTAAACACATGCAACAATCAAACAAGATACTTCTGTGGTGTTTCTTTCATATATTAACATGACATTCATTTGTGACTCGCATCCGAAATCTGTTACAATATATGTCCTCCCACGTTTCATATTTATTACGGTTGGTAGAAAGAAGGAATTACCCCAGAGTGAAATCCACAAAACCGTTATTAAGGGAACAGCCAAGATCCAGGAGTGTGTGACCTTTCCAACAAGGACGTACATACGACACGTGCAGTGACAAGGTACTTGCAGTTTGTAGTTCAGGCTCACCGTTGCATGAAACGTTCTTCATCAGCTCCAAAGCTAGATTGCTTAGACATGTTGGTGTGTTTTGAATGAAGATTTGGAACCAAACGAGCGGTTACTTTCTTCCTTGCCGATGTGTCAGTGATAATGAACGTTACTCTCTTTTGGGAAATGCCTGTCGAAAACGCAGTATGATCTTCAGTCAATCTTATCTACAGATCTTCGTTTCTCTGGATCTTGAGTTGTTACGAGACAACCATTCAGGGACATGGGCCACATTCAAGGCTCTCACTGGCACTCTGAAACAACAACATAGCTGCTGCCATTGCCGTAGCACAAGAAGAGCCGTCCTTCACTAGTTTTGTACTCAGATTTTTATATATGCTTTTTGGTGGTAGGCATTTACTGCAAGTACATTCCTCGCGTTTGTCCATTTTCCAAAGGTCCCAGATCCCTGCATATTTTCATGACTTGTCACAATGAATTCGTCATCCGACTCTTCACATTAACTTCTTGTGAACTGATTCGTCTACGTGAGGCTCACAACGTATCTATGACCCCAAGATGTCAAAGGGGATGATGTTGTTTCTGACTTCCAGGTAAGGAAGAACCCATGCTTATTGTGACAACGCACTGGTCGTCGTTCATAACATCAGCCATTGGTTTTTATGACAGTTATTCAGAGATATACAGATCGCCTTCGTGATAGCTAGAATAATGCTTCTCGCGAAGTTGCACAACAAAGTAACACTAAATACAAAGGCAGATGACACCCTTCTATATGATAAAGTCTTACCTGCGTACACTGGTGTCAGATGAGCAGATATGTGTACATGTGGCTCGACACAGTGAGTGAGTGAGTTAAGATTTATAGTCACATCAGCAATATATCAGCCATATCGTGTGGCTCGTCACAGAAACGCAGTTGACAATTCTCTGTCCATGACGAGATAAGGATTCATATATGAAAATATAAAACGTCCAAGCAAAAGAATACCCTGTCTTGACTATCTCCAGCAGATTTCATTTGGCGTAAAGGGCAAAATATATAGCTGTGAAATTGAAATGAATGGAGCAATTATGGCACCTTTTCCTGATGTTGCTAGTCGTGATCCTCCGAATCTCGCACACTGATTGTGGATTAAAACTCACTCACATGAAATACTGTTTTGCCTTATAGCACCGCATTATTTAGTGGATATAAATATATAAACAGTTCCTTCACGTCAGGATAATGAAATAGAATTGTGAACATCGATAATAAACGGACAGTAAGAACACTTATAGTACGTATGAGGTAAATAATGGTTAATATAGAAAAGAATTTTGAAAAATAATGATTTTGTTGTTTGAATGTAGCGCTGAACGATAGAATGTAAATTTGATCACCATCATTTACTGTGTGATGTTTTGTTCGATTAATACATGGTGACATCTATATTCACTCTCAGTTGTTAGGCGTCTTGACCCAATGAATGTGCGTGTTGCACCTTACACTGGCGTCTTTTAGGGAGATTAATTAACAAGCATTTCGCGGAGACTAGTCTTACTTGAGACATCGCAATGTATGGTTCTTATCAGGCAAGTGGGTGATGATAACAATGGCCTTAACCTCATCAACTAATACACGTCTCACGACTTAATCTTGTTCAACAAAATCAGGTTAATCATGATCTATTTTGAGTTTGGCTGGCCATGCGTCAACTGGTTTCATTATTTTATTGTACGAGATCTATTATATGAACTTAAGGCAAGTATGCAATATGTGTTGAGAAATCAATGTACGACAATATTTGATAATTCAATTCACATCTGTCCGTTCCAGCGAAATAATCTACACATTCTGCTTTCTGTCGTGGACACCGTCTGTAACTATCAACGATTTGCCTATTCATGTATTATGCCGTCAACAATGTAGAACTTCTGCATGTTAATTAATATCTATATGATAATTAAGTCCGTAGATGTTGTCACTACACACGAAATCAACAAATCACCCTATGACATTATGTCTTGATATGTCAACTTCCCCATAAGGGTCTTTTATGTTGCCACCTTGAAATGTATTCATTGTGGGTGGCGCATTGTGGTGCATATGTTTCCCCGATCACTAAAACTTTTTCAAGATGCTATGCAGTAATCACTTGTACTATTTCTCAATAATTTTAATGTAGCGTTCACACATTGATGTTCCTGATTGTGCATCGATGTTTCTGAACCCTATTGAATTTAAACATGTAAGGAGCATTTTATGAATACACACTGATTAATATCTATTTTAGCCTATGAATTATAACGTCACACAAATACGCATAATTAAACATCATGAAAAACCGATCCAGTGTAAGCCGACCTTGCATATATTGCTTTGTCCCATGCAATGTCTTAAAAACTCCTGCTTATCCTACTGAGAAGAATAATCAAAATTTATATAATGTGGGGCTTGAATAAGATCATTTCTTTTGGATGTTTTATTAAACCATTATGCTGCATTAATTCATGTCATCGACGCCATCTTACAAATGGACAATCAGGACACTGGGTATTCTTAAAATAGTCGAACAGTGAGAGCGCCCATTCTCTTGTTCAAAGATCTGAAAACAAATCCCTGTCACAGACAATATTGTATGACGTATACAGACAATGTGTACACTTCGCGTACAAAACAGGCACATGACGTCAATAGTATTCCGGACTGAGCTTCCAACTAAAGCTTAACAATCCGTCCGAGGACATTCAGTTCATATTTTCACTTTGAAGAAGTCAGATGCAAGCCTGGAGGTTGATTTTGGTATTGCAATAAGCGTGTGTGTGTGTGTGTGTGGTCTAGACATGATATGATGGTAACAAGTTTCGCACCCATATGCAGTAACTGCATAGTTCGTTTTTATAGAAGGTTCTGGCAGATTCTGGTTTCAGTTTCTTTCTCAAACCAGCTCACTGTTATCATCAATTATAAACTTATCAGCAGACCAGACAGGGAGATCGATTATTGATTTATGGTATTAGGCCAGAACATGAGCAATCGTTGAATCCAAGATAGCGTGATATACAGTGTATGTTAGACGCACCCGTTACACCCTATCATCACTGTATACTGTACCTGACCCACCAGGTAGTTTATGAACTTTTATAATGATTTTATACTAACATGGTTTCCAAAACACAGCTCTTCCATGTCAAAGAAAATAAACGCTCATGAAATATGAACTCGATCTATTAAATCGAACCCCTGCATGACCAGGCCCTACCTTAAGTGTGATCGAGATAGACATACCTTTAAGCTATATGATCAGTCTGGAAAGAGTGGGTGTTGTATTCAATAAGCATCAACATGATTCTAACACAAACACTGGCAACCGTTAGGCTTTCTTCGGTAATGCCTTGATGGAAAATGAATGAATGACGAAAAAACTAATACTTTGGGAATTATATAATGATTTGTAAATCATTCAAACATAGCTCATTTAGTTAGTGCAAAGATAAAATGTCCTTGTATTTGTAGGAAAGGTAAGGTTAGAAAGAAACGTGAGTGATCTCTGCACACTCACCATAAACGTTCATTAGCCAAGCCCACTGTTATAGTCAAACTAAACACAGCATGACCCCTGAAGCAGAGCGAACTACATAGCCAATTCTATTGCTTTATTTCGGCTGAGATACAACTTATAGCATAGGTAATATAACTGCAATAAAATGAAATGCATCGTCAGAACTGCTGTGTAATTTACTGCACCTTATAAGGATAAATGATGCTAACTCCAAAATGATTAACATTGACAATGTCCATCGAAAACCACAGAGGTCCACGTTATAAGAATTCAATATCCCCTATGCCCTTCTTCTACGAACTACTGCCTCTTGCCTCTGCCTCTTGCTTCTGCCCATCGACGGAATGAAATTGAGTGAGTTAGTTTATTTCCACGTCACTTTCAGCAATTTTCTAGCAATGTCCCGGCGGGGGACACCAGAAATTGGCATCAAGCATTGCACTCATATGGGGAATCGAACCCGGGTCTTCGGCGTGGTTAGAGAACGATGAGAGTACGGATCACACTTTGGGTAATATGATACTCTACCAATCCCTGTCGTCCACGTTCAAACCGTTGAAGTGCCCGTTGGTCATGATAAAGATCTCACACCAGACACTTCCAACAATGTTATACATTGAGGCTAAGCTGTTTGTTTTTAACGCCATACTCAGCAGTACTCCAGCTTTATGGTGGCGT